GATTTCCAAATTGCTTCAAATACGAAAGAATCGACAATTTTTCGTGTCTTTTGCCAGCTAAATTGTCAAAGCCATTCTTATTTCACACACTAATTTCATTTGAAAACACAGTAGTAGGCAAGCCAACAAAACAATTTTTGCATTTTTATGCATCTACAGAGCCATTTTATCGTGAAAATGTGGAACAAATTTTTTATTGAACCGTTTATATTTAACTTAGGCATTGGCCTTTCTCTTTTAATAATTTTTTTCATTATATGATTTCGAGCCAAAACAAAATTTAAAATAAATTTTCAATATCGCAACTACATTCCGAATCGCTAGCCACGATATAAGGGCTAAAATTAAAAATAAAATTATAAAAACTTACTCGGTGAAATAAAATGTGTGGTGGATATACACATTTGGTACAAAACATTCTTCAATTGTACAAATATACTTTTAAAGAAAATTATAATTAAATACAGCTCTGTAAAGAAACGAACATAGAAGTGATATAAAATCTTATTTACTTTTTAAATCTTAATTAAAACAATCTACTTAGTCAAATAGCTCCCTATGAGTGGAATCAGAGATGGTCTTGCTAGGTGTGCAGTGCGTGCATGCACGCAGGTTGTCAAATCCCGATGGTGCCAATACCGATCAACGTCAAATGCCTCTTTTCTTGCATTACTAGCATATCTCAATGGACTCGACAGGGCTCTTGTAAATTTTAAACGTTTCTCACCATAGCTGTAAAAGTGTAAATATGTTAAACTTAAATATCATTTGTTTTCTAATTCGTTTTAGGACCAGGTGTCGTCCACGGAAATTTCCAAAATTTACAACTTTTCGGTCACTCTCGTCGAACTGGAAGCATTTCTGTTTTATTACGTGTAATATTACGAATAAATCAGTCCCCACTGTACTCGGCTAGAGATTGGATAAGCTTTTAAGTAATATTCCAACTCTTTCAGCAGGGTTTTATTTTGTCTCTAATTCCCTAATCTCTTAATTAACTACTTCTTAAGTAGAAATAAGTCGAAACCGGTTACTTTGTACTCGAATAGTTGTCGTCTCGGGAAAAAAGTGGAAAAACTAATTTTTATGACAAACGGATACATAAATCGTAAATTTAAGGAAAATAAATTCTAGAGCTTTTTCTGTACCTCGTGCATCTTTCTCATTCATTAAATTTAGTTGTAAATGATGCTATCAAAGTAACAGTTAATTTGTTGCTGTCGAAACCGTGTTGTTATTTATATATTGTATGCTGGCACAATGGAGTGACTTCTTAACCAACACTTGTAAAGTTTTCCATCTTTATTTAGTTAGTACTAACTAAATAAAGATGGAAAATTTGCCAAGTGTTGGTTAAGAGGTCACTTCGTTGTGCCAGCATACAATAACAGTTAATTTTTTAACATTGTACACGTTTTTTTCTACATTCGCTTATAGACGGGACATACGAAATCGTAATATTACTAGTTTAACATTGAAATCCGTAAATTATATAAGATGGGAGAGCAAAATAAAAGTAAAATAAATATATCAAATATTTTAATGGATTTTTTTAAACTTCTGTCAATTAAACAGAACTATCATAAAAACATACCAGTAAATTCTTAACGGTTGGGTTAAGTTATAAATCTACTCGCGATTTACGTAATCGGGCGAGGGCGGCCAAATATCTAGCGGGAGGGCGGCTAACAGCCCAGAAACAATCCCAGATAGAATTGGATGTGATATATGTGTAGCATCCACCCGAGGTTCTAGGCTTCCACCGGCTAAACTGGGTGAGGTTGGTGCTCTGTAAAGCGCTTGCGCGAATCTGCCTTTTTGGATGCTCACATTACAGCGCTTCCACTCCGCCACTAATATTCGAATATACAATAGCGATCTTATTTTTTTTCACGCGTAGTATAGAAATTTGTAATAAGATACATAATGCGGTTATAATAAAATATTGTGCGATTATTTTCATATAATTAAAANCGGTTATAATAAAATATTGTGAGATTATTTTCATATAATTAAAATTAATAATATTTATTATTTAGAAAATACAAGGGAAGCGGCGCATCCACCGCTTCGAATGACGGCACACCACTGTTGCCCCTCATTTCCGACAGGTGATGAAGAAGAGAGAAAAACAGACCATCTTGGACGTGCTTTTCAAGAAGCCAGCTGCCAAATAACAAAGGATGGAACAAGAGGAGTTGACCTTACAAGATCCAGTAGCCTCAGGGCCGGATGGCCGAGCGGTCAAGGTTGTAGCCTACCGCTCTGGGGGACCCGGGCTCGAATCCGAACGGGTCGAGAAATCCCCAGGAATTTTACGGAGGTGGTCCGTTTGGATATGTCGAGCCCAGCCCCTGACCACCCGGCAGCCCCATTGTGTTCCTGGCCGAACCCATAATGGTCTTGCAAAAAGAGGCCCTCTTAGTGCCCACAAGGTGGAAAGAGTTAAAAAAAAAACGATCCGGTAGCCTCTCCTAAATCTGACTCTGATTAAAAAACAAAAAAAGAGACCCCCTGCTATGTGTAAAATGTCTGTATCTGTACGAATGTGTGAAGAAAGTGTTCCTCCACCTCTTCTTCACATCTGACTATCCGGCATAAGTGGTGACTGCTCCATTTTCATTTCTTTTTATGGTAGAGTACGGTTATTTTATGCTGCGGAACGAATTATATGTTTTAACATGTATTTCTATGAGAAAATGCGTTTCGTATAACGGACTTTTTACTTAACGGACGTGCACCTGGAACAGATTAGGTACGTTATAGGAGGCACCACTGTATATCAATTCGAGATGTCTATGATCGTATATCTTATACTCCTCCCCAATGAAATTATTGTTATTGTTTATTAATCTGGAATGCAAGTGAATCACTTCCTCGTTTCTCTCTCCTCACCTCTACTCCGAATCCAACCGCTTACCCGCGACTGCTCGCGTGACGTAAGAACTCTTCGTCACGATTTCCGGGTCCTGAGAGACTCCGTGGTGTCATCCTGACGCGGTGTCGAAAAGACATCGACCCTACGGTCACATTATTGTTGTCCTAAATTGAGAAAGATTACACATTACTTTTTTATTATTTTAAATTACTCACAGTTGTCATTTTAATAATTGTAAATTATTATAGTTCAAATAATTGGATAGAGATATGTGCTTTTAAAATATTATACATTATAATAAAACCATTTAGCATTTGGATATATTCATAAATAATGATCCCAACATATATGTATTTGTATGAGTAAGTGTAATAACTTAATTTGATCTTTCTATTTAAACAAGTAAGACAAATAATTATTTATTTATCTTCACAATAATAACTTTATTCAGGCGAAGAGATATTTTGAATAAATGTCAGATAATATAGAAGAAACAGAGATAGATGCATTTCTATAAAAAAAAAAAACAAATAAACTAGTAATACCAAACTATTTAGTCTGCTGTTATGGGTCGAGGGCTTCATCTTCTCTCATTGGTTGTCTGGAGACTCCTGTCATCGTAACAACTGCAATTATTAGAGCAATCTCGTGCCAAGTAAATTAAAATAACAAATAGCTTGTATGATGGGCAATAAGACAAAATAAGCAATTATGTCATGTATATGTAGTTAGTTTTCCTGATTAATACATCCGGTATAAATTTAACAGAAGTTACAAGTACTATTAGATATTAACAATTTTATGTCCTATTTATGGGATGCTATTTCCCATGAAAGAAATATTTCCGTAGAAAGAAATATTTTTAAATACAGAATTTAAAAAAAAAATAATAACACAAATCTAATAAAGATTGATTTATATTGAAGACGATCCAATTTTTTATAATTTTGTTTCTTCCATACTTTCTTTAACATAATATTTATTTTTGGCAATTTTGTATAACTCATTCACTGAAGCCACTCCTGTGTTCTTTACCAAATTATAAAATATACCATTTACGTTCTTTAGTAAGGCATACGGCGAGTCGAATTCTTCTAGTTTCCCTGTATCTAAAACCTAAAAATATGAAACGTATTATTAAAAACTCATATTTATTTTATATTAGAAATAGAAGATTCTTACCAAAACTCTATCCGAATCGATAACTGTATGTAATCTATGGGCTATGGTCAGCACTGTACACGATTTGAATTTCTCTCGAATTACTTTTTGAATACGGGAATCAGTACTAAATAGAAAACAACAGAAAACTGTTATAAATATCGATTTTAAGTATTAGCATTAGTATGAATCGCAAACAATAAGAATATAAATACAAAATGTAACTTTAAAATTTAATGTAAATTAAGAATTTTTGATGCAAACGCAAACCGTGTGTAATAAACATAATATACAGTTGCTACGAGAGAAGATTTCTTGGTATTAAATTTACCACATTATGTAAAATAAATTGCGCCCCATTAATAAAATGCATCTCGTGGAAGATATGGCAAAAAACATCAATCAGAAGCAGATTTCTTCTTGTTTGGGTTTTACAGTGGATGGTACACGTGCATACAGGTAAATCTGTGTGCATCCGTATAACGTGTTTTACTATATGTAACACGGCGACTAACAGTGACAAAATAGTATTTGTTTTTGAGGAATATTTACACGGGCACTCTACAGTTGGAATTAAGCTTCTGCTAGAAGTTTCTGTTTGATATGGCTATAAAATTCTGTTACTAGATCTGTGCTGTAACTACATTTACAGACTTTAATTTCAGATGTTAGACAAGTGAAGAAAATCCAGAGAAATTCACCAGGCCTGCTCGTTACTCATACGCACACCTGCAATTAGATATCAGTATATGTGGTTTAAAACTATTCAGCTAATTATAAAAAAAATCTAAATTCTGCTGGTAGCACTGATTAAGCAACAATATCTTATCGTCATATCAAACAGTGTGATGAAATACCGATATAATTATTCTCATTTACACGATATAATCATTCAGACTTATTTGCAGCTATAACGAGAGTGCTCGTGTATTGATTCAACAAAAATAAATAGTCTTTCGTCACTTAGTCATTGTGTTACGTATATCAGAAAATATAACATTGTATGGATGCGCACAGATTTAGTCGGATCCACGTGTTCTACACACGGTTTAATCAAGACAAAGAAATGCATTATTACTGATTAAGACGAGATAAAGAATCTTTTTGTAGTAATATGGGATTTGGGAGATTTATTTGTTAAAATATTATTTCAAAATTTTAACTTGATAGAAAAACTATTTTTGACTCGGGAAAAAAGATATTTAGTTTCTCTCAAAACGATAGTTTCAGAGTGTTGACCCGCCCGAACTATCTTCACAACCGTTCGACTTCTTTCTGTTGACAGAAGCATGATGTAACATCACAATAATCCGGTTTGATGTGAAATTTGTGAAATATGACCTTTATTCTTGCTTTTAATTATGTTTTAATCATGTTCTAGCCATTGTTCCGTTTTTGAAATCATCACCCAATATGCAGCAGATCAGTAATCATCCTTCCAAGAGTCCCAGAATCTACTCATTTCTCCATGTTTTGTATACTTGAACGTCAGATAATACAACCATTTTATTTGTAAACTCTTCCTCCGTAGATGTAGAGGTTCAGATATAAATATAATATCCTTATAGAATTGTTTGACCTACGATATATGTTAACTTAGTAATCAGATATATGTACTCTCTCTTTAATACAATCCCGTAATATAAATTTAATTACTTTTCTAAACCGTCTTAAATTAATGCCTAACTCCATCGTCGGCTCACGATACAGTAGAAACTTTCGAATATTTCTAGGACAGTATTATACTCTTCAAGAAATTTAGCAAGATAGATTACATCTTCAACTACTGAAAAGATAAGTTGATTTTTTAAGCGTCTTTGTAAGAAAATTTAGACAAAGTTGTGTCAGGACTCTGAGAAAAAGAGATCTTTCTTTTAGTTAGTATGATGATCTATTGTCTGATACATTTGTATGAGATAATAAAACTTTAGTCTTCTTCGTTCCCAGGTCAAGTATATATTCGGGCCGAATCTGGATTTTAACGTGCCCTACCTGTATACTAACTAAACAAACTCAAACGATATTAGCCATTTCAAACAATACTTTGAACGCGTTAGCAAGAATGACTGGCAAGATAGGTAATGTAGTACGTAAGCTAAATAAAGGCGCAATCATCCCAGCATAAAAGAGAAACGTAAGTCTGACAAACAGCGATAACAAATTTAGGTGTTCAGTAAGCAAATGGAATGTTAATCACGGTCTCGAGCAAGAAACAAGTGGAGAATAAATTTTCACACCACCGGAAACACGGTAAGAAACTGGAAACATAAACCAAAGAACTGCTACTACCATAGAATATATAGTCCTTCCCTAAATTTATTTCATAGACTGGGAAATCATTAAACAAGATATTCTCCTGAACACAATAAAAACAACTACATTGTCATTTCACCCATTTCTAATGAAGAAAAAAGTTTTTGTTTACTGAATCATAAAATATAAGCGATTTATTCATATTTACAGTGTGCGATGAAACTTATGTGAGACAGAATTTACAAAGCTCAACTATTCTGACCTTAATTAGCAGCACCTTCCTCTGAAATTTCAAACAAGAGAATACTCAGTATAACTTGAGATAAATTATTGCAAGTTGTAATTTTGTATTTCTAGGATCAAATTGCTTTGAAATAAATATAAAAAAAACTGAAGTTTTACAAGCAGGAATACTTTACATCGCTAGAAAGAAAACAAATTGAAGAAATTGATAGTATAATCACAGTGTTTGAACCACTATACAATTTTTCAGAATTGAGAATAAATTGCCTGGGTCTGCGAGATTCTTCGTCACAACAGAACAGAGTTAACCAAAAGTAGCATTCGTTGATAAAAGTTTTTAATATTACACATTAAATTATCTATGAGTTTTAGTATTGACAATTTTTACATTTTATTCCTTATATTCTATGTATTACAAGACAACGTTTTTTTTATACTCATCGTAAGTTTTCCCATTGGGGACAATGGAAAACTGTGAAATAAAACCGACGATATCAGTGGACAACGATTCTAGAATTATCGTACACAATGTACTTCTGAGAGTACACCCTAATTCCTTTCTCGATAACTTAGTGGTAGAATCGTATTTAAACCACTCAGCCCAACACTTGTTTTGACATTAGATCATTATCAATCATATCATTAACATATAAAAATCCTACCTATCCCATCTTTATCTATGCCAGCCAACATTATTACAATCTTTATGTACGAAATGATAAATATTGCATTATCATACAGTCGATAAATATGGACGTGTAAGTTACGGTTTATTTATAAACTCTTTATTTTGAGATTATTGTGAAAAATGATACAAAAATTCTCTACACGAAACTAACCACAAAATCAAATAATTAATACTTAAATTTAGATATTATTAATTTTGTTTGTTCTAACCTTTTGTCAATATTGGACGTTGCTTCGTCCATGACAAGAATTTTATTCTTACGAAGAATCGTTCTGGCGAGACAAATTAACTGTCTTTCTCCCACGCTGAAATTTCGTCCTCCTTCTGATAAATGTGTATCCAATCCCCCAGGTAATTTATTGATGACTTCTTTTAATTGTACCTTTAATTAAAGTAAATAGGAATTATGATTAATTATTAAAAGTATTAAAGAGTGAAATCCTGTAGTAAATTGTAATATTTATAATTATTTATAACCTGTTCTATGGCTTGCCACAGCATTTCTTCTGAATATTCATTGAAAGGATCGATGTTTCTTCGAAGAGGACCGGTAAATAACATAGGATCCTGAAAAATTTGCACACGCTGTGTTAATTGCTTGTATTTTACAATTCGTGTCAATATGACATTTTTCGCTTTACAATTATGACGAATGTAAATATTGAAGTTTGATATTTCATGAATTATTGCAGAAGACATACTCTTTAAACTAGATATTTGAATACAGTCGATCCCCCTATAAGATCATTGATTTTTCCGTTTTATATGAATTACATGTTGTACGAGTCACTTAGATTTTACAAATATGTGAGCCGTTCACAGCCCGGCACACGTATTTGTAAAATCTAAGTGACTCGTACAACATGTAATTCAGATAAAACGGAAAAATCAATGATCTTATAGGGGGATCGACTGTATACCATTTGGCACGATTTAATTTGCTATGGACATTTTTTAAAACTACTTTTTTTCCTGAGTAGAGTATAGTCAGAAAACTGTGGCCTGTCAACATTTAAGAAAATCTGATTGCAATTTAAAAGATTCGCTTAACGTTTTCAAATTGCTCATTTCTCTGTATTACTCTCTAATTTTACAAATACGTAAGCCGTTCACAGCCCGGCTCACGTATTTGTAAAATTTAAGTAACTCGTACAACACGGAATTCATATAAAACGGAATAATCAACAGTGCTATAGGGAAGTCGACTCTAGTTGACTTTTATCAAAGTTATCTTTTTTCAATTAAATTTTATTAACATAGCTCCCAATCGCAACGTAGGTGTAATTTTAACAAATAATTAAGAAGCAGATCACCGTATCTATCCTTCTATGTATAAATTGTTCTCGCTGTCCAAATGATGTCTTTATCCTGGTTTCTAATTATCTTAATATTGAGACCAACTTCTGTCTTACTGTAGAAGATAATCATGTGTAAACATACATCTTTGTAAAATAATTTTCGAAGATGTAAGCTTACATCAGCTGAAGCAGTTTAACAAATGCAAAAATAATTCGACAACAAGCCCGCTATGACTGAAGATTCCGAAATTTGTTGGGACAGTGTTTACTACACGTTAGTAAAGCAGTATTGAAAGTTCTGAATTAAGTATGATAATATTGAACATTTTCAACAACGAATTTCTTCTGATTAGTTATTTTGAAACAGTGTCGTTATTTGTTATGTTTTTCAACACTATGTAGTGCAAGCACGGAACCAGTTGGCATTTTTATCTTAATTATTATTGAGTTCAGGTTTTCGAAATTACAATACCAATCACGTTTACAAAACAGAAACGGTAAATTTCATCAAATGAAGATGCACACGATTCAGCACGTCAACTGAACTAAATAATAGGAATATGCCAAGTGATCAAGTGCAAGCCCTCGACTACTTGGCATATTCTTATTTTTGAAGTACCATATTTGGTAACAAACGACCAACGACGTCGTAATTAGAGCTCGGAAATTGGTGCCAGGTAGAAATAATGTGCAGACGAGGCTTGGCAAGAAAGTGACAGCTGAAATAAATAAATTTTAAAAATTTATGTATTATTGTAGTTTCTTATTTATTTACTTACTGTTTGACACGTTGCTTGCGCACGTTTAACGCACGAAAATCTTCGTATTTCGTGATAGATTTCTACAAATTCTATACATATGTTGAAATCCTGTTGCATGTATTGATATATACAGAATTTCTATCAAACAACAAGAACACAATCGTGGTTTCTTTTTGCAACTCACAACGTTATAACTTCACTTTCTTTCCTTCTTCTCTTCTAACATGGATAACTTCACTCAAAAACCAACGGTTCGAAGAACCACATTTCAAAGCACAAGAGGTATAAATTGCTCATATGCAAAAACATAACTAACAATAGCTATTTTCATCATTGTAGCAATAACCTAAAAGACGTTATGCAGGTTTATGCTGAAAATCGATTTAATATGATTCAATAAGCTCTTCTTTTCGAATATTACAAAAGATATTCACGTGCAGACTTAAACATTTGATTTTCTAAAGAAATGCACAGTGTAACGATAATTTTTTTTTAAATTTACCAAACACGTTCTTATGCAATTAAATTGAATAAAATTTAAAATTGAGTTTTCCCACCATTTGTAGGGCAAGTGCTAACTTCATAGCCACGTTTGCAATAATAAATTATCGATCATTACCTAAACTGACAAATATAATTTCTACAAACCATGGTAACGAAAGTGTATATCGTCGGCCTTAACTTGAGTTTATGTATCAAAACAAAACTCAAAATATAAATAAACAAACATGTATCGTTTTCAATAATGCATCAATCGATGAAAACAGTTAAATATGTCACATTACAGTATTTGATCGTGGATGTATTGTTGGTCATTCAGTTTTTTAATTAAGTAGCAACAATCCCAAGATTCTTAAAAGCAATTGTATCAAAGTATATAGTATCGGTAAACGTACCAGTGCCCACTAGTAAGCAGGTGGTACCGTATACATACATGGTATGTTTATCGGTACAATTTGCTTACTAGTCATCAATCATACATAGGTACCGGCAGTGTTTTTTTATGGAAAAAAATGGTGGAATGCTCATCTCATTACATGCATCGTACACAATATTCGGCACACAAGCATGAACAGGACCATCTTAATTTTGTTGCGCATCTTCGATGCTCAAGAGAGCGATTCAACACGGACCAAACATCAAATTTGCAAAAATTCTCTTTAAACTTTTAAAATATATGGAAAAAAAAGTGGTGGAACGCCGTTCCATTGCGTTTTATGACAAAAACGCCGTGGGTACCAATTGCCACAAATGTATGACTGATGACTTGGAGTGGCAGGTGGTTAGTTTATTAAGCGAAGCAACAATGAGGTACACGATGCATATCATTTCCTTCTGAAGCCAAGTTCCTTTGTGGTACTAATTAGATAGCGCGATTCGACATTATTCTTTCCATGGTGCAGAAATTATAAAAACAAACTTCTTCAGGCGTCAAGTTATGTGATTAGATAATTCTCCGTTATCATCTGTACTAGTCTTATGAAAAAATGCAAATATAATGTCAACTAGATGACTTCGTGTCCCATTCTTACAAGTTGTTCTTTTCAAAGCAATGATGGCTCTGTCATACAGTAGTATGAGAAGCGTTGTAATAGGCCTCATTTGAATTACTCATGTATCTGAAGAAGTCCTTAAATACTGGTTTATCAGAATGTGATGACCGATTACTTGCATACTTTGATGCACCCTAAAAATAATCGTGCTTTGCAGCAGGACAAAGAGTGGCCACCATGTTGTTGTTACCCTGATATTGCTCGAGAAACGTTATCTAAAATTCTTAATTATTTAGCGGCCTCTACATGTCCAGCTGCAAGGTCAATTGAATGTCACTAAGATAACGTTGAGTTGAACATTCAGTTTGAAAAAGCTTTTACGATGTCTACGGAGGACTAAGAAAAGTGCTGCAACAGGCATGGCCTGCAATATTTTTAACAATACTTCAGCGAGTGCTGTCAACGCTTCACAGTACTGTACCCATTCTGTCGATTGTGCCACTAAGACTAGGTGGCGCGTTTGAAAGTGCATGGATGGTAAACTCGTGCTCTCCGTTTCGTCGAAATTCTATTGTGTTTCTCCTTGGATTAACCACACATATTATATATTATTATACGGGAATTAATCTGCTCTCCGTAAGTACAAAACTTTTCAAAATCAGAACATTTTGTCGGAAGTTATCACCGTCAGAAGTTTTGGAAATTTGTCAGCCCCCATCGGGGTCCCCGATTGTGTTATTTCGGACTTTTCTTTTGTTGTTGATAGAACATTTTGATGTTAACTGACCCTCCAAGATTGATCTTATTATGTCAATTACCAACCGCGTAATCGCGATTGAAATCAAGTTCCGCTAGACAAAGACTTATTTCACCACGTGGTCCCGGTAGCCACTCGGCGCGACTCAGCCGATCGGCGTGCTCTTCCCAGTGGTGTGTTGAACTGTTATTCGTGGATTGCCTTTCAAGATTGTTAAAATTATTTATCAATCTATTTTGCACGCGTGTACGCTTGAGTCTGTACCAGTTACGGATTAATTTACACTCAGCCGTTCGGCTTGATAGACGCCGGTTCGGCGTGATATCGTTTTTCTGTTATTCATCTCATCCCATTGGATCACAAACGGATACTTTCATGGACTACTCCTCTGACTCTGAAACTTTGCACTAATTGACAAAAGTCTTGTCTCTAGGACATTTTTACTAGTGATTATTGTGTTAATCCATTCGACTAACCGTGTTTCACTCATCATTCCTCGCTAAACTTCTACAATATGGCGGCGGAGGACAACGGATCCCTTAACAATAGTTTTATTGAAGAGGAACTAATAAACTCTATCAATGATAACCTTGAGGTAATCCTAAACAAAATCCCTACCAACTCTAATGCCTCCGTTAGGACCAAAAAACGTGCTCAGACCAGGGAGACAGCAGTTAAAATGCACGCTGCTGCCAACCAGATCTTTGGAGTGGTTCTGGCTCTTAGGGAGAGGGTCAAGTCCTTGGCCGACTCCCCCCCACCTCCAAGTAAGGCCACATACTCAGAAACCCTGCAGAAAAACTTGAAGCCGACAAGTAGAACGACGAAATTCATTTCGGCAAAAGCAGCCAAACTAGATGGGATCAAAAACCCAAGAATCGAAAGCAACGAAATAGTTATAGCTGCAATTAAAAACCCTGAAGACCCAGAACCGATACTGGAAGAGACTGTGGACCTACTCCAATCCCATGTAGACCCAAAGAGTCTTGGGGTTAGGATTAAGGCTGTTAGACCTCTCCAAAGTGGGGACATCAAAATCCAGGTTCATGATGAGACTGATATTCAAAAGTTTAAATTGGCAGTCCAAACACACGAAACCCTAACCAACAAATTAAAGATAGTGGAAAGGGCTAAAAAACAACCGAAAGTCATTTTATTCCATGTGCCAGATAGTATAGAGGAAGGTGACTTAATACAAGACATGTATAAGCAAAATAATTTTTTACATGATCACATATCTGAAGAACAATTCACTTCA